TTCTCCAGTTTGTGTTTACTAAAAACAAGAAATGTCTCTTATGTAGCCACAGCACAACTATATGAAACTTAGGAAGTTTCATATTGATACTGAAGAGAAATATATATAATTTTTTCCTCAACTCTCATAAGTTCATAGCTGGTACAAACTCCTGTAACAAAAGACCAGTTTGCAAAAGAAAAGCAAATGTATTAGCTCATGCAGTGTACACCCTGTGGGAGAAAAGTTAATCAGACATGGTGGTTGAGAGTCCTGGCTTATATAAGGTTTTCAACAAAGAGCAATACATTTTGGAGAGCCCACATGACAAACATTTTAGCAGCCTCAGGCTTCTGACAGCAGGAAACCTGTGGAAGGAATGAATTTTGCTCCCAGAATCTTCCGACTCCATTTCTGGCCTGATTACTTGCTGTTCAGTGAAGGAGAATTTACACCTGTCTCTAGGTGGGAAGGTGGGGGGAAGGCAGGAAGATATTTTGCCTCTGTACACCTCTGCCTTGTTTTTAACCAGACCCGTGCTGTCTGCCTCTTAATTATCTTCAGCTCCACAATCCTTCATATTTTGGGGAGAAATATTCTGGTTTCCTTTAATACAATACTACTATCTGATCTATAGTCTACATTCAAATTTTATCAGTTATTCCTGTCATGTTCCTTATAGCTACATATTTTTTCCCTGCGCATTGTGTCCAGTGAGGATCGTGCATTGTACTTTGTTGTCATTTGTTTAGTTATGCTTGATTGGAAGAGTTCTTCAGGCTTTGTCTTTCATAGTCTTGATGTTTTTGAAGAGTATGGAATAGTTACTTTGTAGAATATTCCTCAGTTTTCACTAGTCCGATTCTTCATCATGATCAGATTCAAACAATACATTTTTGGCAGGAATAATATATAACACAGAAGTGGTATTATATCCTCCTCAGTCCAAAGTATCAGGAGGCACATGATGGTCATGTGACTCATTACTGGCAATACTGACTGTGATAACTCCGGTAGGGAAGTGTCTGCCAGTATGCTCTATCATAAAGTTAGTATTATTCATTTGTAATGAGTAAATAATGTGTGGGCTCATACTTTGAGACAGTTTAAATATTATGTTCCTTACCAGATTTTACCCACAATATTTTAGCATCCATCAATTCTTGACTGAATCAATTATTACTTTGATGTTTGCAAAATGATGATTTCCTAAATCTTTCTTTGTGAATTTTATGTTTGTGAATTTTGCTTATTTTCTATTGGGTTTTGGATCCCCCCACCCCACCCCCAATTTTAGAGTTCTTTCTGTATCTGGAATGGATAGTAGGTCTTTATCTGCAATGCATATTAATCACAGTTATTTTCAAGTCTGAGTCTGTGGGACTGTTTTTATTTTCTTTAAAAAAAAAATTCACTGGGCTCGGGTGGCTCAGCCTGTAATCCCGCACCTTTGGGAGGCTGAGGTGAGTGGATTGCCTGAGCCCGCAGGTTCGAGACCCGCCTGGGCAGCAAGACTTCATCTCTACAATAAATCAAAAAATCAGTCAGGCGTGGTAGGACACACCTGTAATTCCGGCTACTTGGAAGGCTGAGGCGGAAGGATCGCTGGAGCCCAGCAGGTCGAGGTTGCGGTGGCCGGGAGCGGCCACTGCACTCCAGTCTGGGCGACCGAGTGAGAATCCAACTCAAAAAAAAAAAAAAATTCTTTTGGGTTTTGGTCATTTGTACCAACTTCCTGTCAGGCCTTGCGGTTTTTGGTCTGATACCAGACTTTGTGTGTACAATGTTGTAGAGGCTTCTGAGATGTTATTTCTGCTGGAGATAACTTCTACTGGCTGACAGGCGATGGGTATATCACCTTGCTCAAGGCTGGTTGATTCGAGGTTTGTCCTCACTCTGAAGGACACAGCTGGAAGTCTGGGGATCTTGTCCAGCTCCTGGGCAACCCTGAAGGCTGATTTTTGCATCCTCAGCACTGTGAGACTCCCGTTTCCTTCTGAGACTGTTAGCCTCATGGCAGTTTCTCCTGCTGGTTTTCTTCCTTGTTCTGAGCAGGTGCAGCTTAGGAGTCAGTGTATACCTGAAGGGAAGTTTACTTATTGGGCTCACTTCTCTGCAGCTGTATTATGCAAGTCCTCTATATATGAACCTTCAGGTTATGAACTTTAACAACACACACCTGCTTTCTTATGTATTATTTCTATCCACCGGGTATTAGTATAGCTGTTGTATTGCCGATTGTGTTAGTCGGGTACCTAGGGTAACTTTGTTGGACTTGTAACAAGTGGGACTTCCAAACACTCTCTAGAATGGAATTCGTTTGTTGGGGAGTTCCTGTTATCTTTCTTGCATTGCTTTAAAGGAATGCTTGAGGCCGGGCAGTTTATAAAGAAAAGATTTATTTGACCCAAGTTTCTGCCTGGCACCAGCATCTGCTTCTGGTGAGTCCTCCAGAGCCGCAATCATGGTGGGAGGGGAAGGGAAGCCTCATGTCATGTGGTGATAGCGGGGAGGTGCCAGGCTCTTTTATTTTTTTCTTTTTATTTCCATAGTTGTAGGGGACACAGATAGTTTTTGGTCACATGGATGCCTTGTACATGGTGAAGAAGTCCGGACTGTTTTTTGGGTTTTTTTTTTTTAGTTGGAGTCTCACTCCATTGCCCAGGCTGGAAGGCAGTGGCACACTCACGGCCACCCCGGCTTTGACCTGCTGGGCTCTGGCGATCCTTCTACCTCAGCCTTCCAAGAAGCCGGAACTACAGGCATGCGCTGCCACGCCTGGCTACTTTTTAATTTTTATTGTAGGGATGAGGTCTTGCCAAGTTGTCCGGGCTGATCTCGAACTTGCAGGCTCAGGCAATTCACTCGCCTCAGCCTCCCAAAGTGCTGGGATGACAGGCTGAGCCACTGAGCCCAGCCGAAGTCTGGGCTTTAAGTGCACCCCTCAGTTCCACCTGCGCACGTTGTGCCGGACGGGTGACTTTTCATCCCCCATTGCTTCCCACCAGGCTCTTTTAAGCAACGACTCTTATGTGAACGAACAGAGCGAGACTGGCCCCTGACCACGAGAGTGGCGCCAGTCATTCATGAAGAGTTCGCCCCATCACCCGGGCTCACCTCCAACTCTGGGGACCCTACTCCGCCTGAGATTTGGGGAGGTGACAACATCCCTAGGGCAGCAGGGACATTGTGTGATGAGGCTCGCTTCTCTGTGGCCTTCTTTTCCCCAGGACGGTGGCCTTTTCACTTCGGTCTCCTCTTCCAGCAAAGCAAGACCACCGCAGGCTCCCGTCTCTTCTTCCTCAGGCTGTACTCCCCACCGGTGAATGGGCGATGATGAGAAAGAGCCATGGCCCCCACACAGCTCCCCGCGTGTCGCCTCGTCCCCAGGGCTGCAGCCTGTGAGGTCCTGCGCCCTGATGGCTCCCCGATCCCTTCCCACAGGGACTCGTACGTGTTTTCTAGCTGTTATGGCGGGTCTCAGACAGAAGAGTCACTCTGGTGCTGGTATTTCACCATAGCTAGCTGCAGCATCTTTCCACTTAGCACATTTTATTAAATTTGCATGGAAATGAGAGAACACAGTCAAACTGACGAAACGTCTTCAAACGGACAGGGAAATTGGCTTGCTTACACGCTGGTGGGGAGCAGAGAAATCGGCACTGCTTTTCTGGAGCGCGTTAATTTCTATAAAAGCCTTAAAAATGCACGTGCCCCTTGACCCGGCAATTCTGCCTCCAGAAATTTATGCTAAGGAAATCATCCTGAATACATGGGAAAATCTGTTTGTAAAGATTTACATCCCATGACCAAAATTGGAATCAAAACCCTAAATATGCACCAATAGGGACTGGACAGATTGTGGTGTTTCAATGCAGTGGAATGTAACAGCATTTGTTACTACAAACGATGGAGAGGAACACTGAAACATATTAGTGATTGACCAGCCTCAGTGGTTCAGCCTGTCATCCCAGCACTTTGGAAGGCCACTGCAAGTGGATTGCCTGAACCCGCAGGTTCGAGACACCCAGGCAACTTGGCGAGACCTTGTCTCTGCAATAAGTAAAAAATCAGCTGGGCATGGTAGCGCGTGACTGTAGTTTCAGCTACTTGGAAGGTTGAAGCGGAAGGATCACTGGAGCCCAGCAGGTCGATGCTGGGGTGGCCGTGAGTGTGTCACTGCACTCCAGCCTGGGCAACGGAGTGAGACTCTGACTCAAAAAAAAAAAAAAAAACCAAAAAAATAAAATAATAGGGCTGGGCGCAGTGGCTCAAGCCTGCAATCCCAACACTTTGGGAGGCCGAGGTGAGTGGATTGCCTAAGCCCACAGGCTCGAGAACAGCCTAGGCAATTTGACGAGACCTCATTTCTATGATAAATCAAAATATTAGCCAGACGTGGTAGTGCGTGCCTGTAGTTCTAGCTCCTTGGAAGACTGAAGCAGAAGGATGGCCGGAGCCCAGCAGGTCTATGCTGGGTGGCCGTGAGCGTGCCAAGGCATTCCAGCCTGGGCGACGGAGTGAGATTCTGACTAAAAAAAAGCAAAAAACAAAACAACAACAACACCACCCTGATACTTGGTTGACCTACTTAAAAATGTTTTCTGGCAAACATTTCATTTGATACTGGTGGCCTGAGCTCTGTTTTTATAATCTTAGAAGCTTTAGAGACTTCATCAGAAACTGTACTCTCCCTGAAGTATTTGGTGATATGAAGGGCCTCCCTACAAGCTTTCTTGAAATCCCCACTAGTCAAAATCAAACAGAGGCTTCACCTGTTTCTGGCAGTGCTTGCCAATACCTTTCTAGACAGGAGTACTTTACAAAAGAAACAGGTTTGTGACAAGGACCTGGATTATATGGGGAGATTTATTTCCTGGGGGGGGGGACCTCCCTTTGAAATCAGTGGCCAGAATCAAATGCAGTTGCTTTTGTAAAACTCAAGCCAAGATTTCTGAAGAACATTCGTAAACACTGCTGCTGTTTTTTTCTCGAAGGTGCTCTCCAAAGCAATGGTGACTATGGCCTTTTGGGTGTGGAGGCTGTTGCCTGGGAATGCCCGTTCCTTGGTTACATCGTCCAAGAGCTGGTGTGCTGAGGACCGCCGTCGGCGCCAGGAGGCCTATGGGTACTTCCTGCCCATCCAGACGAGGTGGCAGGACAACGATCAGTATGGCCATGTGAACAACGCTGTGTACTACGGCTACTTCGACACTATCATCAACCATTACCTCATCAGGTAGGCGTGGCTTCTGCAGCCCCAGACCTTCTTGGGGCCTCTGCATACCCTTGGCTGGGGGTTCATGCAAGACATTCTGGGAGGAGACCCCCCCCATCCTCCTCGGCCTGTGCACCTCTGTTTTTGAAGGAATGAATGTCAGCTGATTCCCAAGAACAGGAGCGCTGACATGTGAGTGAAAACGTGCAGCCCGCGGCCCCTGCAGTCTCAGGTGTTCCCACATCTTGGTCCTTTGCACTAAATTGTTAGCAAATGTATGGACTTTGAATCTCAAATAAGCGCCTACACAACGCGCCACATGATGTTCAAACCCCGTGCAACCCGGGCAGCCATTCGCATCCACCCTCCAGGCCATTTTGCGTTCAGAGCAGCTGCTTCCCCCGTGGAGGGCACACGAAGGGGAGGGGACAGGCAGAGACGCCAGGATGTTCATTCCATCCCCTGAGTGCCATGATGACACGGCTGCTACTGTGAGGCGTGTTTGCAAGATTGGGCCGCCTATATCTGGTCGATATAATTGTCTCTGTGACAGATTGTGTTGTACAGAGATCTGGGTGAGCCCTAGCTGTGCCCTGACCTCGCTGTTCCACTGTGATCAAGGTGTCTTGCCTTAGGGAGTCCTCTGCAAACAGAATTCTCATTTATCCAGAGCTTTTCCTGCATTCTGCACCATGAAGCATTTCGTGTAGACTTTTTGGTTTAGCCCCAAGGTGACTCGAGAGAGAGTCACAGACATTGTCAGTGCACTGACCTTGTCTTGCCTTTTTTGTCTGTACCCTTTTCAGGGCACATAACCTAACTGTCGCCATCACCAACATACCTTGCCCGAGGACTTTATCTGGCCGCCAGAGCGTCTTTTGCAGGGAGGCCAGCAGTGCTGAGGAATTGATGCCCCTAGAGGCAGGCGTTAGTTCCTGGCTGCTGGGAGTTGCTGTGTAAACACCCCAGCTTCCCACCTCTTGGGGGAGATAATCCTGAGGTGCACGCTTGACGCAGGCCCTAGGCTGCCCTAGTAGAATCCGGCTTCAGTTTCCTAGACTGGTATTGATTTTTGAAAGACAAAAATTATATAGCATAAAATCCAGCACTTTGACCATTTCAAAGTGCACCCTCAGTGGCTTTCAGCATATTCACAACCTTGTACACCGTCACCACCATCTAATTCCAGAATATTTCCATCACCCCCAGAAGAAACCCCATCCCTGTGAGCAGTCACTCTCAGTCCCCCTCCCTCCATCCTGGCAACCTCTTATCTGCTTTCTGTCTCTGTGGATTTGCCTTTTCTAGACATTTCATCTCAGTGGAATCATACAGTGTGTGGCCTTTTGTGCCTGGTGTCCTTAGCGTGACGTTTTCAGTGTTCATCCTGGATGGGGCACGTGTCCATCCTTCATTCCTTTACATGACTGAATAATATCGCTTGTCTGGATGTGCTGTGTCTTGTTTATTCATCTGTCAGTTGATGGGCATTTAGAGCATTTCTACTTTTTGGTTATTATGAATAATGCTGCTGTGAACATTCTGCATACAAGCTTTTGTGTGGGCATGTTTTCAATTTGGGGGAGTCTATACCTAGCATGGAATGCTGGTCATGTGATATCTCTTTGTTTAACTTCGTGAGGAACTGTCAGACTGGTTTCTGCACCCATATCCTTGCCAACACTTGTTATTATCTTTTTGATTGTAGCCAACCTGGTGTCTGTGAGGTGGTATCTCATTCTGGTTTTGATTTACATTTCCCTGGTGACTGATGATGTTGAGCACCTATTGGACTTTGGATTATCTTCTTTGGAAAAGTGTCTGTGCACATCCTTTGCCTATTTTTTTTTTTTTTTTTGAGTTGGAGTCTTACTCTGTCACCCAGGCTGGAGTGCAGTGGCACGCTCACGGCCACCCCAGCGTCAACCAGCGGGACTCAGGCGATCCTTTCTTCTCAGACTGCCTAGTAGCTGGAACTACAGGTGCACACTACCATGCTTGGCTAATTTTTTGATTTATTGTAGAGATGAGGTCTCACCAAGTTGCCCAGGCTGATCTCGAATCCGCGGGCTCAGCCTTTGTCTATTTTTAAATTGGGTTGTTTATCTTATTATTGAATGGTAAGAATTCTTTATATATTTTGGATACTAGACCCTTACTGTATATATGACTTGCAAATATTTTCTCCCATTCTGTGTTCACTTTCTTGCTAGTGTCCTTTGACACACTGAAGTTTTGAATTTGAGTGACAGCGTGGAGACTCTTAAAATAACAAATGCCTTGTTGGTTCCTTCCCTTCCTGCCCCTTCTTCCTTTCTGCAGGAATGCTTAATCTACAAAAAGGACCTCAGAGCTCCCACGCAGATTGCAGCTTTGCTATGTCAGGCAACTTAACATGCTTTTTTCCCCCTAATGGATAGTATAAAACAACTTTTACTTTGAGAGTGCCTGTCCCTCTCGTGGGCCACGTGGTCCTGAAACTTCACACTAATTTTACTTCCTGTGTACCTCCCAGCAGTTCTAAAAGTCGCCCCCGCTGGCTTACTTTTGAATAATGAATTCCTTTTCCAGCACTCATTTTAACTTCTTGGAGAAGGTATGCTTTATACTTTGAAAGCCACAGCAGAAGGTAAAAACAGAACTTGCGGTTATTTGTAATTTCCCATCATTTGTCACATAGAGAAACTTGACATGGAAATTTTCAACTCGCTCAGGACCACCCTTACTTTCCTAGGGAGGGTCAGCCTCATCCCTTCTTTGGGTTCACTCTTGAGAAAGTGCAAAACCATTGGGACCTAGTGGCATTTGACTTTTGTGGCTTTCGGATGTCTTCCAGGAAGGGGTTTCTGGAAAGACAGTGTGCAATTAATGATGGTTGAGTCTTCTTTTTATTGTTGAATTGAGAGTTCTTTGTATATTCTGGATACTAGACCCTTACTGTGTATATGCTTTGTAAATATTGTGGGGATTGTGTCTATGTGGTTCCCGTTTGTTACCCAAGGCTGGCTTCTGCCAGTTTTGGGAGTGGGGAGGGGGTTGGCAACAAGTAAGGAAGAATTCCTGTTGCAAACATGTCCTCTCTTAAATCGAAGCCTCTGGATATTATACATTGACTCTCAAATTGTGAAAACACCCTGAGCATTTTGCCCAGGGACTTTCTAGTCATGATTTTATAAAGAAAATGGATTCACCTCTTGATTTTTTTTCTAAGAGACCTGAGGGTTGTTTAGTAAAGGGTTCCCCAACCCCAGGGCCATGGACTGGGCCGCACAGCAGGAGGTGAGAGACAGGTAAGTGAGCAAAGCTTCATCTGTATTTACAGTCTCTTCCCATCGCTCACATGACCACCTGAGCTCCGTCTCCTGTCAGATCAGCAGCGGCATTAGATTCTCCTAGGAGCATGAACCCTTTTGTGAACTGTGCAGGTGAGGGAACTAGGTTGCACACTCCTTACAAGAATCTAATGCCTGATGATCTGAGGTGGAGCTCAGGCTGTGATGCTAGTGCTGGGAGTGTCTGCAAATACAGATGAACATCAGCAGTGGGGTTTGACTGCACAGAGACTATAATAAATCCATTGCTTGCAGACACATATCAAAACCCTAGTGAGTGGCAAGTGAGTTGATGTGCTTCAACTGTACAGCTGCATCTGGTGGCAGGCTTTCAGTCAGAATCCAATGATGCTTACTTTACTCCACATGTGGCCCGCCCATTATTTTATTTATCATTTCCATCCGTGCCTTCTTCCTGCACCGTGCACTTGTCTTAGCCACAGTTTTCGTAAGCCCACATGCTAATCCTACTCAAAATGGGTAAAAAACAAACGTCATTGGAGAACCTCTTTGGAAAGAGAGAAAGACCCAATGATGAGACGGTAAAAGACACGAGGACTGCCAACAAAAAGAAAGCTGTATTGAAAAGAAAATACCAAGAGTCCTACTAAATTATGGTTCATTGCAACAGGTGATTCACATTCTCCAAGCCTGCTTGGTATAATTTTTGACAACCATCTGTCCAACGAGGCCATGAAACTTTCAAAACTGCTTCGCCACATGGAGACCAAGCACTCTGCTCTAAAAGAAAAATCTTTGGAGTTTTTCAAAAGAAAAAAATCGTGAACACGAAGAACAGAAGCAATTATTATATTATTTTGGGGTCAGAGTCCTACACCATTGCCCAGGCTGGAGTGCTGTGGCACACTCACGCTCACCCCAGTATCGACCTGCTGGGTTCCGGCAATCCTTTCACCTCAACCTTCCAAGTAGCCAGAACTACAGGCATGTGCTACCACGCCTGGCTAATTTTTGATTGATTTTAGAGATGAGGTCTCGCCAAGTTGCCTGGGCTGATTTCAAACCTATGAACTCAGGCAATCCATTTGCCTTAGCTTCCCAGAGTGCTGGGATTACAGGCTGAGTCACCGAGCCTGGCCTAGAAGCAATTATTGAAAGCCATCACTTCATCAAATGTGTCTGCACTGGGAGCATCCTTCTTAAGTGACTGACTGTGCTGCTAAAGCTAAGAAGCCCTGATGCTATTGGTGAAGAGTTGATCCCACCTGCCACTAAGGACACTTGTCGTGAACTTTCAGGAGAGGCCACAGTTCCAAAGGTGGCATGTGTTCCTCTTTTGGCTAACCGCACGAATGGATGACACAGCAGAGGATATTGGGGCATAGCTGTCAGAGAGGGTTCAGGAGTCATGGAACCCAATTCAGTCTACTGATGTGGACAATAGGGTGTCAGTGCTTGTTTTTGTGCGATGTATTTCCAGAAGGATGTGCATGGGGATATGTTATAGCACTATTGTTGCCAACCAATACCCCAACTGCAGAACTTATTCAAGTCATTGAACGAATAAATATCAGGAGAACTGAACTGGTCATTTTGTGTTGGTATATGCACAGACGGAGCAGCTGCCATGACTGAACAGCTTTCTCGTTTCACAACTTGGGTCAAAGAGGCCACTTCTGAATGTGAGTCTATGCTGGTTAGCGGGAAGATGTCACCTGAACTTAACGT